TATATATATATATATATATATATTTTCTTGATTTGATTGAGCCGTTTAAATTGATTTATTGCTGTTGTACATTCCTAGACAACACTATCTTTGTCTGTTACTTTCATTTATTTATAATCACAAATACAATGATAACAACCGAATTAAAATATAACATTTTATGTGCATTATCTCAACCTCTCCATCACTAAACCATCTTAGTGGTTCTCATGAACTTCTATGGAATGTTTTTCTGTGCCTCCCAGTAAAACTCCGAAATATATCCCTCATAAATTCCAGTCTTTTGTTACGAGATTATTTCTCATTTGGGAACCGAACCCGGTCCTTCATATATGCCCGTTTAGCACAATAGAAATTATAGACATATTCATACTTTTATTCCACTAAAGTCTTGTATATATAAAAAAATATGGTCGATAGATTAATCATCAATGAAATTGGCAGACACTTTATATTAATAATACGATTATCTAAACAAATATACTTCTATACCACACCTGATATACTTTCATTATTAAATAGCAACATTAATGTATGTATACAATGGATTTTTTGCTCCAGAAACAGTCAATTTTGTGACAAAATGGATGCTATCCTCATATCCACTGTTCGGGTATTCCAAACTAGACAATAAACATAAGTCACAGCAAATACAATCACAAACAAAATAGAAACCAACAATGGGAGCCATGGAGGTTCTATAAAAGAATCTCATCTTGAACGCCCACATTTAGTGTCTTATGTGGCAGAACAATGCTATTAACAACCACTACCTCGTCCTCTACCGTTACAGATTCACCTGGTTTCAACAAGGGAGCAATATTTGCATAGTTAGTAACTTAACTTTGCCTTTTCATACTACTCTAAAAAAATATTAAAAAAAGTAAGAGAAATGCTAGCGACACTCTCACTAACACTATTATTGACTAAAATTTATTGAAAATCACAAATTTTATGAGTCTTGTATCTCATTTAATGAATTTCCTGATTTAAAGTCTATATGTTTAAACTTTTTTTCTTCTAAAAACGCTTCTTAATAAAACAAGTACTTTTTATATATATATTTTTTTGATGTATTTGTCTAAACTTCTTTTTTATAATAAAAAGATTTCTAGTTTTTTTAAGAAGAAACTCTTATCTACTTCTTAAATAATTGTTTTTTTTTTTAAAGAACTTGTTTAAAAATACTTAATTTTAAATTTAAACAAATAGGCCCTTAGTAATAAGACTCACCAAAATTTCTGATTTTCAACTAGTAATGTATGAAGTGTTAAAGAGAGTGTCTATTTATCAAAAAGTAATAAATATATATGTAGATAAGGTTAAGAAAGGTACCAAGTATAGTCACCCCGAGCTTTGCATTGTAATCTCCACTAGCCTGATTTAGTTTTATCCAATTTAGCAAACAAATTGCGAATAAAAATCAAAGTATTTACCAAAAAGATATTAAATGTGAATATAGAAAATGAAAATGCAAGCACAACAATTAGCATAATTGATAAATGCTTTAATAGGTGACATCACCCTAAACATTGATAAAAGAATGCACGTAAGTGGCTGTAAAAGGGAAAATCAATGCCAGTTCAGGGCATATAAATTTACTCCCTTGAGTTTGTTGCACAATTAAGAAAGTCACTAAATAGGAAATATAGGTAAAATGAAATAGACAAAACTTCTGTGTAACTTTTTAGGTGCTTCTAGTATATGTTCTCTATTTAAAATTATGTTCTACTTTGGCAACTTGCACAATAAGAGTTGCTCCCTCCCTCCAATAAATAGAAAAAGGTAATTAATATTACATTGTAAAGTTAACATAATACTTATTTTAAATTTATTTTTTTCTTTAAACACGACACTTATTATGAGATGGAGAAAATAACATTTAAGCCGACACTAACTACAAAGGTAAAACTTCAATTTTGATTTTCAAACAAAAGACACCTATAGTAGTGCACCTAAGTTTTATCAACAAATAATTATAGTGAACTAAATAACCTCCGATATACTTAATAATGTTCATTCTAGGTCTACAAATCTTCTCTCACTTATTAGTGTCCGGCATAAAGTTAGTATAAGAATTAGTTTTCTAAATGACAACAAAATTGGACAATGAAATTTTTCTAATGCCATTGATAAAAAGATGACCAATAGGGTATAATTTCTGAGTTTTCAATCTGAAATTAAGATGACTCTTAAAACACAACAAATAAGCATCAACTGCATTCTTAGGGCAGTGACAACAACCCTTATCTGAAGAATAGCTGGGATGGATGAACACATCCAGAAAGCTAGATGCCTATCCTATCTCTCTAAGGTGTTTATCCTCTTCTGATGTCAAACTAGTAATAACTGTGATGGTTAAATTCATATTATAATTACATACTGATAATACTAATAGTTTAAAGATATTTCTATTGAAAATGAAAACAAAATCAGCCAAGGATTTTTTTTACTAGTTGACATTGAAGTCTCCAAGTCTCTGTTTTAGGACTATGCATAATGTTATATGATCCATAATGGACCAAGCTATACTTTTAAAATTTATATGATCTGACTAAGAATGCTTGTCATAAAGGTGAATATCATTATAAGTGTGTTTGGATACAAATTTAGAAGAAGTTTTAATAATTATTCTACTAAAAATAGCGAGTTTTTTTCTAGTAGAAAAACTCTCAAAAGTGTATCTAACTTGTATCTAAATAGATTCTGTATCTGTTTTTGAGCAATATTGAGAGCTATAAATACAAAACATGCCTTTTAGGTGGTGGAACAATTTAATTTAATATTAAAGTTTTTAAACTTGCCTGGACACGTGCCCATCGTCCAATAGAAGATTTCCATCCAACAATTGCATGACTAACAACAGCATTTTCCTGTAAGATGAAATGTAAAAAAATTGAGCACCAAAAATACTTATGCCTTTCAAACCAATTTAACTGTAAACCTGCCTTGATTTCCACGTCATCAAGGATGATACAACTGATGAGCCTTGCACCAGCTCCTATACGAGCATTTGCAGATATCGATACACTTGGACCAATCTGTTCAATCACATTTACAAAAGTCAATTTGCATATCATGTTGTATATTATGGCATCTAGATTTGCCTATGTACGTTCATGACATAGATCAAGTTGCCAATGATATACAATTTATCAGTAAAGTAAAAATGCACATTACTGATGTCTGCAATAGGTATAAATGCATATTATTGAGGTGAAATTTCAATTCTGATTGAAGAATAACACCAATCGTACATATGATATTGTGCCTAAGTTTTGTCCAATTAGGACAAATATTCATGTATTAGAAGTGAAAATAATATCCTTAAGCTACTACAAAATTTAATAATTTTTCATATATCATGATTGACTCAGAAACTAAGATGATTATAAAAGCCTTTAGTAAATGATCAAGGAAAAATAGGTGAATATTAACCTTTGCAGATGGATGCACTTTTGCTGATGGGTGAATATAAACATCACCAATGATGCTGGCTTTCTTAACACCATCCCCATTTGCTAATAGATGGGGGGATGTGTGACGAAATTGGGCAAGATACAAGCCAGAACATTTTATCGACATTCTGCAAGCATTAAGTCAACATATTAATACATGGATAATCTCCTATGAAGGAAATGATGAAAATATGTAACATATTACATTATTACTCAAGGCTTACCCCGGAGTTTTGATTTGTTCCCAAAAGTCCATGGTTTCATAAATGTATAACTGTTTCTTCCCTGCAAGGGGTGTGAGGATATCTTGATCCAATCGGACATAATTGGCAGGAAGACTCCTGCAGAAGAACTCACCAGAATCAGATCTTGTAAACTACCAATATTCTATATATATATTTATTTAAAT